TGACTTGGATTGTGAGCCGCCCTGAGTCCCCTTCGGGGAAAAGGGCGGCATATAAATGCAATAAATTCAATTCAATTCAAGGTGCAGAAACAATTATTGCCAAGAAATCAACTAACATTTTAAAGTGTGGCAAATCTTTATTTACTTTACCATATTTATAACTTGTCCCAATTCCAAAGGCTTCGGGGGGAGGGGGAGGGAATACAACATTTTTTAAAAACAGAAAAACAAAAAGCATAATAATGGATAAGTAAATGTAATTACCAAAAAAAGAACCATAGCAAGTAAAGATAAAACCCCAGATGGATGCACAGAGTCAATCAGTTGGAATTGGAAGTGCGTTGACATAAAACAGCTTTAACCTGTTTGTGCAACTGTAGCAAATTGGAAGTTGCAAAGTTCTAGAAGAGGGGAGTATTCTATAAGGTGTGGGGAAGGGAGAGACTGCCACAGAGATGATTGCTATTCATTCATGCCCTGTGAGTATCATGACAGGAAGAATGTTCTTTAGAAGAAGAATCAGCTGATAGAAAGTATTTCAGATTCAGCAAATGAGACTTATTAGACATGTATTCAGAATCTTGTTCCATCTTTCCACAGCTTTTCTCCTGAAAATTAATGTTGTCTATATCTATTCCATAGTGTAGAAGATAAAGTCTTGTTTTGTTGTTTTTATTGTTCTGTGTGGTAACCTACTGTTAGATTTCTACTCAAAGACTGGTATAATGCTTCATGAAGAACCTACGTTTTATTAAGGTAGCATCTAAGAATATAGGCTAATTCTACATAGGATGAGGGTGGATTTTTTTTTTCAAATTAGGATGTTCAGGTGAGATAAATTCTGGTATTTCCAGTTCTGGAGTGAATCCTTTAGGTATTGTTTCAAGGGCTCCAATCGCAGCTGATATAACAATGGATTTCTTTTTCCATACGTGTTTTACTTTGATCTACAAGTCCCAATATTTTTAAATTTTTCCTACTTGTTTTTCCTCAATCCTAGCATTACCCAGAATAGCAATATAATGAAACAGTCTTTCTTCTTTTTGACAAATGTTATATCCAGCAGGCTGTGAACAAGATCTTAAAAGTCTCATAAGGTTTTAACCAGCTCTTTTTTCCAAAAACTTCTCACTTGGTGGTCCCAGTAGTCTTCCCTTATCTCTCCTTACTACTTGTTCTTTCTTAAGTGCTTTATAAAAATTCTTATGCTTTCTGAGTGATCAAAAAGAACCTAATGAGTTGTCCGTCAGAAAAGTAAACACTGCAGTAAGAAGGGCATTTTTTTTGCTTTATAACAACCTGTGTCAAACCAAGGTTTGCATCTCATATGAAGGAGGCTAGAATAAATTTATGAAACTCTAGATGGTGAGGCCTGGATAATAGTTTGGTAACGTGATAACATCTGTTCAGAGGAGGGTCATTGAAGCACTTGGGGGTTTATCTGTGTCCTCAGGGTCACTGGAAAGAGTTTTAGCTATACAATTTGGGATGAACACTCTTTGAATGGTGTGGGAGTAAGAATGGATTTCCAGAGAAAAATTGCAGACTACAGGAACCAGAAGCACTACTAAGGTGATCCTGAGGATTAACATATTATGTGGCTTAAATTGAAACAAATGGGCAAGGGCCATACTTGCACACAGCCCCAACATAGTCACAGAGATATTATATTCTGTGGTGACCATTGCACAGTCTTAATGAACATCAAACTGTGTATCAACACAGCCAGTTCATCTGTGAACTCATGTCTCTTCTGGGTTTCTGTTCCTGGAAAGCAATCTTTTGAAACACCCTCATCTGCTGAAATTGAAGACCATATGAGGCTAATCAGATCATCAATGGAGGTATTGGATACCAATCCTCCTTTGTTGATAGCTCAATCTCGATTCTTTCTTGGCACATACCTGGTTGGAAAGTGAAGAACACAGATGCCTATTTCCCAGAATATATTAGCTCCTTTGGTATTTTGTTCCTCCAAGGAACATGGGCCATACCATGATATCTTTCTCTCTGGATATACTCTGTAGGCACTCAAGACTTAACACATTAAAAATGGGAAACTCTCAGGCGTTTGAGCATATTAGAAGTAAAAATTAAGCATATTTTAAAATATTCAGCTAGCAATTATATATTTATTTCTGAATGAAGTGTATTTTGACTTAAATATTCAAATTTTCAACAAGTGAACTATGATATGAATAATATAATCTAAAGTGTAATAAAATGATTGCTTATCTATAAAGATAGGTTTTTAAATATAAATTCTTTTCCCATCGTTTTATGTACATGTAAAAAAATTATCTTTGATTCACAATTCTATTGAAGTTCCAACTGAGTTGAAATCTAATAAAGTGATAATGTACTGTATAACTCAGTTATACAGAAAATAGAAGAATTGTTAGTTGCATGTATCTGTTCCTTATTTACAGAGAAAATCCATCATCTGTGTACTAAATTTCCAATAATATATAAATTGTATCTTAACCTGTTGCTTGCAATTTCCCCTGGAAAATTTCCCCTGAAAGTTGGGAAATCTGAATCTTTTGCAATTGGTTTCCAAATATAATATCTAGTATTTTATTAATAATGCCCTTCATATTTTCTTTTTATATATCTATGAAACATTTCTGTTCTATAGGTTATTGCTGTTAGGGTGTTTTTCTTTTTGCTTAATTGATTACTGTACTTTATTTCTCTCCACATCTTCTGGCAGCCTTTTCCCTATAAAAGGACCAGTCTTTTTAAGGTAGAAAAAAATTAAATTCTTTATATTGAGTGCTTTACTTGCATGGATCTAACATGTAGAACCAATGCTGATCATTCTTCTCTCATGTTTAATATTTCTCTAACATCACTGCAAATTAGATTGTACATAACACTCATTTTGTTGAACATGTTAAATTATAGAAATGTGGTTCTAATAAGTCATCGAAATTCCAAAATTACAAAAAAATTAATGAAGCTCTTTCCTTTTTGAAACAACAGATTAGAATTTGAGAGACAACAAAGAGAAGAACTGGAAAAATTAGAAAGTAAAAGGTAACTTACGTTAATATTTATTTGTAAATTTATATTGTTTATAAGTGATAAGAGTTTTTGATTTTGCTAGAATATTTTAATGATAAACTTTAGGGATTGAAAACAAGCAGATTTCACACTGTATTATTAACTTTATAACAGTTTTCTTTTAGAGAGGTCTAATGGCATTTATGTTATAATTCAATTAGATTTTATTTGAGCTTTGTAATAATCATAGGAATAGATTTCTATAGCCTCTTAATGTTTTATCATCAGTGGTTTAGAGATGGAGTCTAATACACAAGATTGCCTGGGCTCTTGTCCAAATGGAACACTTCGGACCATTTTACATATATTTTTGGACAATCCTTTTTTTCAAACTTTTTATTTATTTGTGCATCCTTTAACCTCATGTTATGTTTGTTCCAATGAGTACAATACTCTAATTTTGGTAACAGGCAGTTTATAGAAATCTTCAGAAGTGTTGCTAAATTTTGTTTGATTATAATTGCTATGAGAAGGCTTTGACTTACTATTAGCATTGCCTGATTTTTGCATAGTCTGTAATTCTTTTACTTTCCTGGACTTCCTCCCACCATTTTATTTTTATTTAATTGAGTTGTAATACATTTGATATTTGGCTTTTTGAGCACAAGAAATTTTTATCTTTTATGAAGAACAAAGACAACATAATTCCATTAGGACAATGTTACTTCTATGATCGCAGTAGAAAATCACTTATGAGAACATAATTACATGATAGAGACTACATCTACAGAAAATATTGCTTCAGGGATAGGTAACTTTCATTCCTACAATGTTGTATCCCATATATATTAATATATTTGATATTTATTTAAAAACATATGAGCTTATGATTTATTCAGTCATGGAATGGGATCAAAATCTGCAGTGGCAGCCATGGAAGTATAATCCAAGCTCACTCCTTTTACACATGCATACACTGTATCTGTTATCTTTGCAGAAGTTGATCAGTGTCTTTCAAATGTCATTGATCTTGCAAACGTCTCCCATAACTCTCCTGCACTTTTTTCCAGGGATTTTTTTTTTAAATCAATGGTGTATTTTCTATGTAGTCCAAAAATTTGGTGTACACAACAACAACAACAAAATCAGTATTCTAGACTAAACTGGAGTGTTGAAAAAGGAAGGTTGTAGATGAGCACATTGGCAAATCATTGTAATTTTATTGCAAAAAACAAACAAACAAACCACCAGCCCAGGGATATTTATAAAATCACCAGAACATGAAATCTATTTGAGGGAGACTTTATTTGAATCAAAATCAAGGAAAGAGAAGGCAGTATAGAGAATATTGAAAGTATTCTGAATTAAATTCTACATAGGAATGCTTCTGCTGATAAAACAAAACATTGCCCTATGCATATTTTCCTGAACATTCATAATGAAGGTTTTAATACGTCATAAGTATCATGGTATTTTTCATTTATATGTAGAATGTTATATATAACTTATTTATTTTAAACATTTATATAGCCATCCATCTTATAACAAATTCAATCAAAAATTAAAACGATATAAAAACATATTAAAACTAAAAATCACATTAAAAACAAAAACCAAGTCAAGCTTCCAATATGTAGTCGCCTTATCCCAGCTCTTCAGAGCTTTATGGAAGGCTAGGGTGGTAAAGACCTCCCAAACTTCAGGGGGATGAATGCAGAAGCCGCCATGAAAAAGGCCCGTGTCCTACCACCCACAAGATGTCTTTAATACTAGGAGGTGCCTGTCCTATCTAATATATAGGGCTTTAAAGATGATAACCATCATCTTGAATTATATCCCAAAGGAAACTGGAAGCTGGTGCATAGGTCACTGCATAGGTGCTGCATGGACAAATCTAAGACATTTTTTTCCCAGACATTTATTACGATTTATAGGCCGCCCTTCTCCCTGAGGGGACTCAGGGCGGCTTACAATCACGGGAAGG